ATTAAATGACCCATAAGGAGTTGATATGTCATTAAACAAACAAATAAAATATTTTAGACTGGGTGCGTCAGACATTTGGGAACTCAGATTTAGCTGAACAAACATTGAAGTAAACATAATGTAATACACTTTTATCATTTCGGAGTATTTTTCTCAATTTGGTTTATAGCAGACACAATGTTTCTACCAGGTACCTTGTGCCTATCATCAGGTGCTCATTGTTATGGCTGATATAGCATATCCCTTATATGCTGTGTTATATCGTTCCTGCAATATCGTACATTGTCTGTCACTATAGAAATCGATATCAATGAAAACGATATCAATAGTTCGAAATAATAAAATCATATTTGCAATTACTGTATTTGACGGCATATAAGACGCACGGGTGTATAAGACGCATCCCAAATTCAGCATGGTAAATTTAAAAATAGTAATTAGTAGCATTAGTAAAATTATTAATAAATGGTATAGCCTGGGATATATGTATGAGGTATTATTTTGGTTAAACATGATTACAATTAAACGAAGAATAATAGGAAAAAAGAACACGAGCCTATAAAAACTTTATTATATAATAAAGTAGAAGCTCGTGCCGTGGCTCTAGATATCTTCAAAAGCGTTTGTTAGAGTTTGACATGCCGGCCTTCTTCGCAAGCTTCAGGGTTATGGAATTTCAGGTCGATTGTTTGACTTAATACAATCATTGTTGTCAAACCGTGTATTGAAGCTCGTTCTCAACGGATTCTCCTCCAGCTCCTATCCCACGAGCGCAGGTGTTCACCAAGGTTCTATCCTAGGCCCTACTCTGTTCCTTATCTTCATCAACGATATTCCTGGCGTCATAGATTCCCAAGTAGGCGTCTATGGGGACGGCACTAGGATTTACTCCTGCCTCAAAAACAAATCAAGTATTGTTGACAAAACTAACCTGGACGTTTGTCTTAAAAAGGACATTCAATCGGTTGTGGACTGGGGCAGGTTGGCTGATTAACTTTAATGCCTCAAAAATAAAACTGCTCTCTATTACTCACCACAGAGAACCATCCCTGCCTCCCATTAGAATGCCTGACGCTCAACTCCACGAGAGCACCTCCTAACGATTGCTCGGTCTTACATTGTCTGCTGAGTCAACAGCTTCATCCACCTCAAGCAAAGTTGGCTCCCTGTGCCGCGCCAGGAAATTTTTCTCGCCGGAGTCGATCCTTCCAATCTACAAATCAACTATTCATTCTTGCATGGAATATTACTGCCATATATGGTCTGGTTCCACTTCTATTTGTCTCAAGGTCATTGATATAATCCAGAGACGTACATGCAACGTAATTGGCTCTGATCTGGCATCTCATCTGCAGTTGCTCTCTCACAGTTGTACTGTCACCTCCCTCTGTCTTTTTTACAAATACTTTCACGGTAACTGCTCCGATGAGCAACTTTCTCTGGTTCCCAGACTTCATGAATTTAAGCGTCCTACGAGGCTGGCATCTCGCTCTCACCCTTTCACTGTCGAAACTGTTAAATGTAGCCGTCTCTTCTACTCCAATAGCTTCATGTCTCGTACTTCCCGTCTGTGGAAATCTCTCCCCATTTATTGTTACCCTGATAACTAATGTAATGTCAATCGACGTCTCCAGATGCCTTGATCTATTTCCTATCCTTCTCTTAATTCTTTTCTCTATCACTCCTCTTTGCTCTCGCTCTAACTCTCTGTAACCACTTGCGTGCTAGTTGCTTCCCGCCTAGCTTGGGGTGAAACGCTTAAAAATATATCCAAAGGTAAGAAAATATTTTTTAAATTATTACAATTGTGCAAAACAGTAAAGTTACCATTAAAATGTTATTAATCGTCAAATCCATAAAATTTGTCGTCTTCGTTATCAAAACTCTGATACTCATTTTCAATACTGCTATCATGGTCGTTAAATAATGGGTCATTTTCCGTTCCATTAAGAGCATTGCTAATGCCACATTTTTAATAATATTTAAAAAAAATTTCTGGTTTAATATTAGCCCAAGCTTGCTTCACCCATTCGCAGACTCGTGCAGTGATGTTTTTTTTTTTTGTTTTTTTTTTATCCTTCCTGTAAGTGTAAGGCATTGCCATCCACGTGTTCCATTGCTCCTCCATGTTTAAATCTAAGCTAATAAGAGTTGCCAGGTAGCTAATTCCGGCCGACTATCGCAAATTTTAAACTTACATATATAAGATGCAGGGGAATTTTAAAAGATATTTTTTTAGCAAAAGAAAATGTGCGCCTTATATACTATGAAATACGGTACCTATCTTAGAACAGCTTAGAGAACAGAAGGCAACGTACTGTGGTTCGGTTTGAGGAATCGAAAAGCCATTTTAAAATTGAGATCGAGTTCTTTGCATTCGCTTACAATACCCTTGTGAAAGTTATGAATCTATATTTTCTCTGGCGGATATGGCTAAATAAAAGGGCAGATTGAGTGAGAAACCAGTCGAGAAGAAGGAAAAACTTTGAAATAAAAACCTCTATGGGTAGTCAGAAATTCTGTAGCCATGGTTGGCAACCGTACTAGTAGAACAACAACTATGAATTCAAATGAGGATCCAGAGTTCCAAAGTTAGTCCTCTGTCACATTGAATTTCGTTCTTGCCATCCATCTCTGTCATTTCTTTGGACAACTTCTGAAGCGTTGAAAAAGACATAAATATTCGTGCGCAAATCTATGATCTCACGAGACTGACGGATGCCATAATAAAAAAAAATCATAGCAATGAAATGCCTAAAGCAATGCTTGTGAGTATGCATTAAATTGCAACGTTCTAATTTCTCTTTCCGACATATCGATAGTACTAATGTTGTAACATTCAATTTGACGCAGGAAATGACAAGGTACGACCTGCTCATGGAGATTTAATATGACCAGCCTTTGTTGATTATATAATTAGTATATTTGAAATCCTGTCATTAGTGTGTCTTCTATTTTATATGCTATGTAAAATGTCTTCGTCCTCGATAGAGCTCTGACGTTTAAAAAATGAAAACCTTTTAAGAATTTTTTTGTCGTCTTTTTATTTCAACTTAAAACTTTACGTTAACTATTTCTATTTGTATTCTTACGTTGTCCGGAATGTTCTCAACGACACATAGCTCAGCGGATAAAGACTTTGGTTACTTCCAGTGACTAGACCCGAATAGTTGCGCGTTCAATTCCAGGCCACAACAGTGGTGAACCAAAACCTTGGAGAGATTAGTTAAATGGTTATAACTGAGATATCCGGAAGAGGCATAACACGTGCAACTAGAACAGTCTATCCCGGTGGACGAAAATAAAGGATTCGGACCAAATTCCAATCACCTGAATAAAGCCGGAGTGTATAAAGGCTGAAAAGTTGTGAAGATGGTATGAAGATGACGATAACTGTCCGAATAATGTAAATAATACAAGTAATCATAATAGCTCATCTCAGAGATATAGACAGATATATAGAGAGACATAGACATAAAGGCCGGAGCGTACAACGGCCGAAACTTTGTGATTATGGCAATGAAGATGAGGATAACAATCCGATTAATGTAAATAATGCAAGTAATCATTATACCTCATCTCAGAAAGATAGACAGATTTATAGAGAGACATAGACATAAAGGCCGGAGCCTACAACGGCCGAAACTTTATGAATATGGCAATGAAGATGAGGATAACAATCCGATTAATGTAAATAATGCAAGTAATCATAATACCTCATCTCAGAGATATCGACAAAACCTTTCTTTTGTTTGTTTTTTTGTTTTGTTTTGTTATATTTTTTTCGTTTACATTGATTTTAATATTTAAAGTTTTATAACAATCTTAATTTTTACCATTCTTACTAAAATATTTACAAAAAAATTCGGAATTTTTCAAAACAATGTCGCCATTGCTTAAATGGAATTTTTTAAAAAATAATATATTTCGTTGAACAGTTTTGTTTCTTTTTATTTGTTTCTTCGTAGTATCCGGAAGAAATTACTTTGACCAGCCTCGACATTGCTGAATTTCGTTGTTCGTACGGGAAACAAAAATTCAATATGATAAGGCCGTAAGACGAACTCATAAAAAAATAACTGAATAAATCAGACTTTTTAAAAAAAATATATATTTTTTTAATAAAGTAAATCGAAAAATACAAAACAAAATGAAGCAGCTTTTTGTTTGTAATTTTTTTTAATAAAGTAAATCGTAATTTTTATAAATATGTGTTTCATTGAATGTATTTTTCATATGTTAATTTACTTTATTAAAAATAAATTCATTTACTATTCACTCAATTAAAAATAATTAAATACAAAGCATCTGGTTCATATTTTGCATAATGCCTTTTCAAATCCCTTATTTCAAGAAAAATATTCATTAATTAAGGTTTTAACCCTTAATAATTTACTTTTATTCGGTTATAAAAAAATGTTATGATTTTCTACTGCTGAGTTGCCTCATTCTTGATTTATCTCAGTACTAAGTTATCCCGGCGGTAACTTGGTGATATTCAGTCGTCGGTGTTGAGTTGTCCCTTCGCATTCTTCTGTTGTCTCAACACTTCTTCATCTGCGGGTAGATTTTCCAGCATCCATTGCCGTGAAGAAGGAGTGAGATTAGAAATCTTTTTGCACTCTTTTCTTTTGTTGTTTTCCAAATTTTTCTCTTCCTTAAAACTTTGCTTAGTTCTTGGAATTCTTTTGTTATTCCCATGCATATTCGAATTTCGGTGTTGTATATTCTGTCCCCTTTTTTAAACACTTGCTAGATATTTATGGGGTTTGTAGTAGCTTGATTTTCTTTTCTCTTATATGTAATAGTCCGCATGTTATGTTCTTTCTTTTACTGACAACCATACATCCTGTCTTCTTATAACTGACACTTAGTCCTTTCTTCTCGCTTTCTTTTACTATCTATAGTAGGAGTACCGATAGTCTATTTTGTGCCATCTGCATTTCTTATATTATTAAGATTGTGGTCGCCATAGGACTTCCAATTTTAAACCAGTATGCCTACGGCCACATCACGTTTAAATATCAGTTCCCGTCTTATCACCGAAGTTAAGAAACGTCAGGCCTGGTCAGTACTTAGATGGGTGACAGCTTGGAAATACCAGATGTTGTAAGCTTGTATGCGAGGTTGGTTAATGGATAATGCCTGGGATTGTTAATCAGAGAGCCGAGTTTCAATTCTAGTTGGATTCATGATATTCACTTACGCTCAAATGTCCTTAGGAGGAAACGTATGAAACCGTTTCTTCTCTCTTCAGCTACGGGATAATTGTATCATTAAATCATTATTATCTAAAAAAAAATTTCTTACAATGTAAAAATATTTCCTGATTTTAAATAATCTGCAAATGGTTGATAAAATGAACTAAACCAGCATATATGATTTCAGCATTACCAAACGTAAGAATAGATTGCAAAACGAATAGTGAAGCAAGTAAGTTTCGACTATCACATTAATATATAGCTGTAAGTCCCGCATATTTCAATGTTCCCATTTTGGACTATTTATCCAAAACATGGAAAACGGAATGCGAAGAATACGCTCCCATGTCTCTTCTTTTTTTTTTTTTTTTCATGATTTTTCTTATTTTTTCTGTTTTTAACTATTTCATGGAGTGAAAGCCAATAAAGCTGACAAGACGCAGGGTGGGGTCTGAGTATTAAAAAATATTTAAGAAAAATACAATTACGGAAAGAGGACATTAAAAGAACACGTGGGCGATAAAAGATAGCGATAAAAAATGGCTATGTTTTTCTGGTGCTGAGTTATCTGATTACTGAGTTGTCTTAGTGCTGAGTCACCCCGGTGCCCACTTGACGATGTTGAGTCGTCGGTGTTGAGTTGTCACTTCACATTCTCTGCATTCTTTTGTAGGACGACGCTTCTGTTGTTTCAACACTTCGTCATCTGCGAGTATATTGAACCGCATTCATTGCCATGAAGGAGACAGATTAGAACTCCTTTTGCATTCTTTGTTGTTTCCAAAATGTTCTTGTTTCTTAAAACAATGACATTGCATTAACATTTTTTAAGATCAAAATTGTCTGAGAAATAAGAAACCGGAAGATTGCTCCACAAGCGAGAAGTGTGTGAAAAAATATTTTTTAGCATAGAAATTACTGTTTCATCTAGCTATTTCAACTGTAAAATGATGAGAACTTGCTACTAATCTAGTACTGTACTTAAATCCATAAAGTACAGATACCATAGAGGAAAGTTTGACAATACAAATAGCATGAAAGTATTTATAGAAAAGACCGCGGGAAGCTTCGTTACGCCGGTGTTAAAATGACTGAAGCCTAGATACCAGGTCACGAACAATAATATTGCAAATTCTTTGGTTTTTATTAAGAATCTCTTAATATTTATACAAAAGAAACACCAGATCAGATATGGAAGCAACATTCGGCTTTTCCTCTTGCTGATGACCATAAATTTTTCGGTTTTCCTGTTATTTTTTATTTTATTTTTTTTTGGGGGGGGGGGCGCTTTCCTCTACGACCCTGTCTAGGATGTTGCGTAGTTTATTTTCTGTGTCCGCCATCACGACAGCTACTTCATAATACGAGCGTACCTGAAATGCCAACGACCGATAGTTTCTCTAGCCCGCTGCTGGAGAAACACTTGCATGCCTTTTCCCAAACGGCCTGGTCCGAAATTAGGTATCAGTTCGTCGATTCGGTATCCCTCGATGATAAAGGCAATGCTACACACCCCTCTATCTTAATTAGCAATGTGGAACTAATTTTATTGCTTTTTGCTAGATATTCGGTTCAAGGAAAAAAAAATTCCCATCAGGTTGAATTGATTCCCTTCGTGATCTTCAGGAGTTTGCAACTTCAACCGTCTTCTGGAGATCTGATTAAGTGCATATCATAATTCTCTCCAATTTCCTTTTCTACTGGATGTCACTTAGGTATCTAGCGTCAGGTATATCTTGATTTTTAACCTATACCCGTGAGGTATAAGAAATTAATCCTTGCCTTTCTCAAGTGGGTTTTGCGCAAATTGAAAACAAAGGGCGATAACTTTTACAATACTCATACTAGGTTCAATCCATATCCGATTGTACAGGTACAACACTGAGCTGAAATAGATGTTCGGGGATAGCGAGTGTGATCATAGCTAACTATTTTGCTTACTAGTATCGGGTTTCTTTTTCTTTGGACTTTGGACTTACATGCTAGACGATTATTTTAGGCTGACGTACATGTTCTCGGTTCTTTCTTTTTTTTTCACTTTGGTATTGGTTTGATTATTCGCAAATCAAGACAACGAAGGCTTTCGGACGAGTATAATTTCTCATACTTATAAGATTACTACTACTATATATATATATATATATATATATATATATATATATATATATATATATATATGAAAAAATGATGAAAAAGATCCTTTACTGTCAATATCTTTATGTTCTTATTATGAGGAAAGACCAAATTATTTTTTGTTTATTCTATTAAATCTTTTAACCCTTTCTCGTAATTTCGGAATTTCCATTAAAATTTTCTTGCATCTGAGGGTGGGCCAGCAATTAGTATGTGATATTTAGCGTCTTTGTTGTAGTGAAAAACAAATTATTTCGGAAATTCCTGCAAAAATCAAATAGTATCTGTCTATATTTCTGAGATGAGGTATTATGCACACTATTTGCATTATTCGGACTATTGCCCGCATCTTTGTCGCCATATTTATGGCAACGTTTCGGCCGTTGTTCGCTCCGGCCTTCTTCAGGTGGTTGGAATGTCGAACTGGATCTAACTAACACCTTTAACCAAAGTGGATAATGTTACAGGACCCAAAGTGTGTGAGCTCGATACACAGTTAAGGCAGTGAAGAACTTGGAGAGGGGAAATAACAGGAGATAACTGACAACTGCTATCCATTAGACATGGCACGTGGAACTAGAACAGTCTACCCCAGTGAGCGAAATAAATGGTTCAGTTCGACATTCCAACCACCTGAAGAAGGCCGGAGCGTACAACGGCCGAAACGTTGTAATAAATATGTCGATAAAGATGAGGACACTAGTTTAAATAATGTGAAAAATTAAATAATTGGATTTTAATTAAATTTTCAGGACTTATTCATAAACTAATGTAATTATTATAGAATTGTTATGTTTTTAAAAAATGTGGTAGAAATCCTTTTTTTTTTTTTTGAAAATGTCTTACTTAATTAAATTTCAGAAAAAATTAATTTTGTCCCTTTTCATATTTATATTAGCAAGGATTCCTTCGAGAATAAAAATCTTCAAGTGTTTTTTTTTTAAACTAATTCATTTACCGAGAATCTTCTCTGAATATTGAATTAAAAACATGCAATAAAACTAAGACGTTATTAAATTAGAAAAGCTTTTAATTGTTTTTATAAATAAAACATATTAAGAACACTATTGTCTTAAGAAAAATAATTCAATGAATAATGATTTTTTTTTTTTAAGAATTGTTTTCATTTTTTAAGTTTTAATTAGAAAAAATATTAGGTTTTGAATCTTTTAAAATTCTGTATTAATTTCAGCCATTAAGATGATATTATTATTAAGGGAAAACTATACTTACTAATAATAAATAGAAAAGCGTAATACAAATCAATATACTTTTTACAGTAAGGTTCACTATTTACAAGGCCCGGGCGCCACTCAAATTAGAGGGTTCAGTTAGGAGACCATTTGTGTGTATAGAATCGAAGATAACGGTTACCCCTGGCCTTGAACAGGTTAAGATTGTAGTGATCGGGGAAACATCCTGTTGGGAGTCGGTTCCACAGAGCAGTGGTACGCGGGAAGAAGCTGCTCGAGTGAAACTGACTAATCGCCGATGGAATACGGAGGTAATGTGAGTGTTTGCTAGTATGTTAAGTTGCATAGAATGTTCTGGACGTGAAGGTTTGACTTGTCGAGACCGTGGAATGCATTTCGTCCGAGCACTTTCCATGGCAGTAGCGGTACAGGTAGAGGCTGCCACATCCCGCCTGTGTAAGATACGTTAAAAGGTGGTGAATAATTCGTCACACACAAGGACACTTTTAAACTCTATCAATAATGGCGAGTAAGGTTTTGACAGCTTCCACCAAAATATAAACACCAGTACTCCATTGTTGACCTGATCTGGCTCTTGTAAATGTAGAGCATGGCAGGTACTTACTGGAACAGTACAGTCGACTGCATCCTTAGCAATGGATCCTATGTACGAGTTTCACTTGAGGTCAGGTATGAGTTTAAGGCGCCATAGATTTTACGGCTCCGTTCATCCTGGTTGGTGGTAGTTCGGTGTCTGCTCGGCAATGATGTAAACTAGTTTAGTTTTGTTTTGTTTTATTTTATTTACGGCCTATCAACCTCAATGGGTTACTTAATGTTCACAAGTTATATTTATTGCTGGTAATATTTCTTTTTTTTTTTCTCAAAAATATATTGCTAGTAATCTTTGTTTTTTCAAAAATGTATTGCTGGTAATTTTTTTTGGTGGTAGTTCGGTTCGGTGTTTTCTCTTCGATGATGGTTTTGTTTTGTTTTACGGCCTATCAACCTCAATGGGTTACTTAATGCTCATAAGATTTTTATTGCTGGTAATATTTTTTTCCAAAAATGTATTACTGGTAATCTTTGTTTTTCAAAACTGTATTGCTGGTAATTTTTTTTTTTAATGTATAGCTGCTAATGTTTTTCAAAAATGTATAGCTGGTAATAATTTTTCTTCCAAAATTTATTGCTGCTATTAAATTTTTACAAAGTATTTCTGCTATTAAAAACTAATTTTACATTTTCATAGTATTTTAATCCCATTTTGGGAGTTAAATATTTACCCATAGCTGGGACCCTAACAGGTGCTACCAGCCCGGGTCAGGGTGAACCTTGGAACACCAGCAGTGAAGAGGTGGTTCAACGCTCTTCAAAATCTCCTGATAGACGTAGTTTATCCTCTTACACAGGAATCAACTAGTTTGATCTTGGAGGAATTGAAAGTAACCTGTCAGTCTTACCTTCATTGTGCAATTGATGCAAGATTGGAAGAGAATTCAGTCCTTAATCTCTAACAATCGAAAATTTGAAACGTGCGCACCTATATAGCCATACCATCGGCATAGATATTTCCAACGGGTCTGA